TGAAAAAAAGAAACCGCTAGCTGGTTGAGGACATTTGACTTACAATTAACCAGACCAACATCTCTGAACTTTACCCAGAAGACAATTGAATACTATAGAACTGCAAAACCTAGTGCTTTGAACTTTGTAATTTTATGCTGATTAAAATGAGACGTACAGCATAGAATATGAGCTTTTCCAATTAAATCAAGAGAAACTGTTAAGACACAGACTACAGATGTATAATGTCAAAGTAAACCAATTAATGAGTCATGGAAAAGTTTACGTTAGTTACCCTAACCTCTATAAGAGCAATATGTGTGTGATAGTGCAGGCTGAAAATCAATTTGTACATGAATTTCAAAAGAAAAATGCTTCCTTACAAATCATTCCTGCTGTTATTTTGTAGGATGACAGCGGAGTAAAGGAGCACTCCATCCTGATAAAGAAGCCAGAGCAGCACATTGTGAAGTATCCCATCAGGCTTGGAGAGGAAGTCATTCTTACTCCCATGAGCCTCTTCTTCCCTGACCTTTTGACCTTACATGGAGACTTGGCACATGTCCAGAAGAGGAGCGAGGGGGATCCTGAGGATCCACATGACGAATTCTACCTCAAAATGACCACAAGGGAGGTAAGTCAATCTAACTAGAATGACCAATATTTTGTACGCAACAATTTCCAATTTGTTTTTTTTTTGGTCAAATTACCATAAATGTATTATATTTAGGGCTTTTGTTTGTTTGTATGTTGTTTAACGTCCCTCTCGAAAATTTTTCGCTCATATGGAGACGCCACCACTTGCTGGTGGAGAGCTGCAAATTTTGTCCTATACTCAGCACTTACAGCCATTGAGCAGTGAGGGATCTTTGGGTGCCAGCACCTACTGCGACACGGGACCTCGGTTTATACGGTCTCATCCGAAGGACCGGTCTCCACGTCCCACAGTGGGATTCGAACCTGCAACGTGAGGATCAACTCCTTACTCTGCGACTCTAGAGCAGATGCTCTAACCACTGTGCCACGCGGGCGACTTTAGGGCTTTTGATATTTGGGTGAAATTTAATTTTGAACAAGTTAGCATAGATTTGATTTAGCACATTTCTTAATGTTCTTATTTTATGTTTAAATGTGTAAGACATTTAGCATTGTACTTGAATTAGTATAAGTTGCTTTCAAGAATACACAGCCAAATGTAATACGTTTACATTAAGTTTGATGCAACAGATGAATCATCTTTATTAAAAAGTTAAAAACATATGAACATGTACATCTTGCTATAAATTAATGGGAACTAAGACAGGTTTGAACTGATGAGGAAAACATCTGTTTAATGGGTTACTTATAAAATCTTTGATTTCAGACGAAGCTGGCAAAAAAGAAAGACAACTCTGATAACAAGGATGCTAGTGAGAGCAATATAGGTCAGTTTGACGATTCGACCTTTCAACCCCAGATAGACGAGGACTCGAACGATAACGCCGAATCACTACAGGTCACAGACATTCAGAAAGGTGGGCGGGGCATAGAGATGGAGGAGGAGCCTGAGACTGAGTCAGAGCCTGTGGTACAGCTGATGGGCGTCGACCAGGCGATTCTACACAGTATTGATAAATGTGGTCAGTATAGACGAAATACACGTACTTAATAATGTGGATACTTAGGCTAACAGATTTAAGGAATAACAATTTTAACTTATTTATTTTTTTTGTCTCTAATATCTTGTGTTTTTGTGTTTCTTTTTTTTTTTGGGGGGGGGGGGGAGAGAGGGAGGGGAGAAGTTATATATATATATAAAATATAATGAAATCTTTCTCTTTATTCACTATGTGAAAATTTATAATTCTCTCCTTATCGTTATTGTATTTTAATTCCTTAATAGCATATTGTGGATAATCTGAGTTCTTTCCCTTGAGGGACACTTTAGTATATCACAAGCTTATCTTTTAAAAAGATTGGTGAGCTAGCGCTGTAGCATAATAAAATACAGAAGAAGATATCTGAACCATTTGTTAAATTTGCTGAATCGATTAATTATTAATAGGAAGGCAGATTCGTGCACTGGGGGTTGAGTTTGGGGGGGGGGGGGATGTCACAATTCAGAATGGTGAATCTAAGAGTATGCTTCACGTCGGCAATGGCATAACTCCTTACTGTGCTTTAAGCATTCTGTATTTTACTGTAATTTCAATTTCGAGGTGAAAAATAAAAGGTCAGTAGAACTAATGAGCACCTTCGGGCCTTTCCGGCAAGCTCAGAAAACATATCCGAGGTTGCCGCAGTTTTCCGAGCTTGTCGGAAAAATCCATGAAGGTAGATTAGAAAAGCTATGTATTCTTTATAACTTTAGAAATTACAGTCTTGGTTTTATAAGACCTGAGTTACTGTTACTTTTTGTTCATTTACGTGCAGGTTAGACAACAAAACACGAAACTTCAGATCATACATGTATGTATTTTCAGATGATAAACACTAAATTGACATGTCTTTCCGACATACTCTGAAAAAGATTTTTGTTGTTGTTGTTGTTTTTTCCGAGCTTGCTGGAATTATCCACTAAGGTGGTAAAACTGTAAGGAAAGCTAGATGTCTAGAATCTTGGCATTATATGGCCAAATTTTTTCTTGTACTTTTATCTGTAGGTAAGACAATAAATTTAAAAAAAAATCAGAATCCGGATCTAGACTGGTATTGACTGTCTCTAACCTACGAAATGTATATCGTGCATATCAGACAGGGAAGGTCAGTGTAAATTCGGATCATTTCTATTTTTGTATGACAAAACGAAATTGTTATTGTATAGTCTATCTACAGTAGTTTTCCCAGAATCCCCGACCGTGAAGTCGAGCATGCGTATTTCAGAAATATAGACTAACGTAGTTGCTAGTGCTCGAGAGCGCTAGCAATTACATTGTAGTTTTTTCAAGAAAACAAAGCTCACTACATATTACTTTGTAAATTTCCTTAAATAACAGCAGAAAAAGATCCAGCATTCTTTCCTGTATTGGTCCCTGTTTTCATTTCAGACAATGATGAGACTAAGAAGAAGATGTACAGCTGTATTGTGGTTGTGGGGGGAGGTATGATGTTTGAGGGGGCTCAGCAATGGCTTCAGTACAGGGTGTGGGTAGGGATGCCTCCACAGTATCGACTAATGCTGGAAACCATGGACGTCTTCACCAGACCAAAGGTAAGTCAATTTCTGGCTGGACAGCAAAGAAAAAAATCTCATCTACATGTGTATGTCCAGTTTGTGTCAAAAATTTTGTTTAGCTGTTAAGGGTAATCCACAGCATAGTAATCAAACTACACACAAAATTATATCAGGATGACATAATGGCTCTGTGTTTGACCTTGACCTTTGATTCTTGTAAATGGAAAAACAAATGTCAATGAATCAATCTATTGTGGAAGACCTATTCTGTTCATTACCTTACAAGAAATTTATTTATCATGCATAGATAAATCATGACATTATTTTTTTTACCATCACAGTGCATCTTAGGCATATTGTTTGACCTTCAAGTTGGAAAGTGCATGTGACTAGTACGTAATAAGTACACATTTGACCCCTGACATACTTTCACTTTTTACATACTTGTCATTCTGACAGGACATGGATCCCCGCATGGTTTGCTGGAAAGGAGCGGCCATCTTGGCTTGTCTGGACACGACCCAGGAATTGTGGATCACACAGCGAGAGTGGAGACAGTACAGTGTACGGATGCTGAGGGAGAGGGCGCCGTTCATGTGGTGACACTAACCAGCCAGACAAATGCTAATGGAGACTGCACCATTTGTGTGGTGACACTAACCAGCTAGATAAATAATTTGGAGCTGTGGTACAGCAGTTACATCTTCCTCAGAGTGAACGCTCAAGGGAATAATATAGGCTTTGGCCTTCCTACTCTCTTGAAAACATTCCAAGAGTTTAATGAACTGGGAAAGTGCTTTTCTGACAGATGTGTGGTTACTGACACAATAGTTACACAATTTACAGAATGTAGCCAAAGATCAAGTGAATCCATATAAAGATGTAAACCGATGACAGTTTATAACATCTAAAGTTTTGTAATAAATTCATCTCTGAATCTGTTGTATTGAGTAAATGTTTAATCTGATAATATAGCAAATGGTGGCTTCATGATTGCTGCATTTTCTCAGTATCACATTAAGGGGGAAAATATGGTTAGTAGTCAAACATAATTCAACGTTAAATATAACAAGCCATGAACATGAATGTTTATTGATGACATTATGTAAATTGACGTAGAGGTTCCAAGAAAATTTCAGAATTGATGTGAATCTCTATTTTAATGCCATCGCATGCCCTTCGCAGTATTGTTACTTTAAATTAATAGCCCTGTCAGGCCACTAGTGTGAAGTGAAGATATAAAATTCCAATTTTAATATTTACAAAGTAATCATTCAATGATCACACAGAAAATAATATTTTCGACAACTGAATATTACCTCCTTTATTTCTAAAGAAAACCAGTGGTCATTTATCAAATCATAAATGCTGTTGTTTTTCAATTCATTGATTTTTCTAGCCACTTGTGTAGATTTCTTGCACAGTGAGCTGTTCCATCAGTTAAACAAATGACAACGTACAATGTACATGTCAATAATCCAATATCTAACAAACTTAAATCTACTTTATATGATAATTTATACAGACATAAAAATGAACAATAAAATGTCTTTCTTTCTTTGATAGTACGGGAATTAACCATTGCAGCTATTGCAGAAAAATTGTGGGTTATGTATTTTACAACATTAATTCCCTTACTAACAACCAAAGAAAGCATTTTATTGTTTAATTATTTGCAAGACTTAGTGTTTCATTCACAGATGTCCCTTAATCTTATTTTAAAGATTTAATTCTCTGTGAAATTTTCTCCTTTATCACATTAAACAAGTATTCAGTTTGGAGAATCATTAAGTGTGGTCAGTTGGAAAAGGAAACATTCCAAGAACTTTGGTACCCCCCCCCCCCCCAAAAAAAAAAAAGACTAGAATAATCTTATATGGACAATGTTTATTAACAACATGATTTTTAAACAACTGAATTTAATAGTTCTCTGATGCACAAGAAAAAAGAGGCTCCTTAAGGGAAAATGAATCCCAGCTCTGCCAAAGTCCTAACATACCACTACATTTCTTAAACTGTCCACTCTTCATCTCAGTGAGTGAAACAAATCAAAAATACAAACAATTTGTATCAACTGACACAAAAATTAGCAATTTATTTACTTCTTTTATCAAAGAAGTAATTATTATTTCCTGTTTTTTTTTTTCCAATAAATCTTTTCAAAAAAATTAGCCATTAAGAAAAACACTATGCTATGTTGCAATGTTAACACACAAAGAATTCTCTCCCTTAACAAACACAACATATAATCTCCTTGGAATCTTCACCTCTTTTTTGCCTTTTGTTTCTTTTCTTTTTTCTTGGAGATGGCCTGCAGTCTCTTCTTGTGCTTTTTGACACGTCGTGAATTCATCCACACCGGATAATGTCCATTTTCATCACGGAGAGTTTTTGAATCTCTAGGCTTGGAGTCCACTTCCATACCATCACCTGTAAAATTTAATGAATATGAAAATCCATGACAGCTACATCTAGTAAGATCATTTCACTGTTTATCAGACAGGTTCTAACTGCAACTATAATACAAGTTTAAATTCCTGATGAAGTTAATTCAAGAACAACTTTTTAGCAAAACTTAGAATAAGTTGGCACATTTTAACATTCATGTTGTTATTTCTTGTAAGTTTTCATTTTTTCCTTTTATAAGCATTTTAGCTTTATTTGGTATGTTTCCCAATTTACTGGGAAAGTTTCTCAGAAATTAAAGTCATAATTCCATGTTAATTCTGAATTTAAAAAAAAAAGAAAATTAGCCAAACTATTAAATAATACAGTACATCTTTATGCCAACAGACAAGAAAAATTTTCAGATGAAAATAACAAAATATGTTAACCAGACACTTGTTTTAAATATTAATTGCATCATATTCAGATTATTGGGGGGGGGGGGGGGGGGGAAAACTTTCCTGAGGGTTTTGCTGCTGCTGCATCCTCTTTGCTTCCCAGGGGTTTTGTCACTGTAAGCGAGAATGAAAGGACATAAGCTTTAATAGACTAGTTTAGAATAGAGTTTTTCCCCCTAGAACTAATGCATGTAACTCCCACAGTGAACACACAAACAGCATGACTCTGCTTTTTTTCCCTATTGATCTTCTGGTTGACCCTGCAAAGGGACACAACTTTTGTAAAGTGGGGATTGGACGATGCTGCATTACTCTGGAAAACAATCTTACAATACAATACAATTCGTTTATTGACCAATTAAGGGCCCTCATGGGGCAAAAAGAAAGTACATTGTTAAATTGTATATAATGATTATGATCATACATACCAAATACATAAAAATCTGCATATTGTTTTTTTTTCTCATTTTACTCCAGTCCTTCATATTTCTCTACTGTTCACTTTATCCATGTCACCTTAGTCTAAGAACTTGTCAAATAATCATGCCAATGTTTTTTTTTTTTTTTTTGAGGGGGTTGGGGGGGGTTAAAAAGGTATACTTGAATCACAAGATTTCTTTTAAATAAAAGATGCAGCACATTGATAGACAAAAGCTTACATGTACCTGTATACAGGTCTGTCATTTCTGTATCTTTATCTTTCTCTGCCAAGGCCACAATCTGTTTCAATTTTTCTAGTTCTTTCTTGGCATACCGCTCTCTCTTTATGTTTCTCAACATTCTTTTCCGCTTGCTTCTGATGCTCTTGGCCATCTCTAAAGTAAGTAATGGTTACAGGGTTAACAGACAACAGTCAGATACTCTTGGCCATCTATAAAGTAAGTAATGGTTACAGGGTTAACAGACAGCAGTCAGATACTCTTGGTCATCTCTAAAGTAAGTAATGGTTACAGGGTTAACAGACAACAGTCGGATGCTCTTGGTCATCTCTAAAGTAAGTAATGGTTACGGGGTTAACAGACAACAGTGGGATGCTCTTGGTCATCTCTAAAGTAAGTAATGGTTACAGGGTTAAAAGACAGCAGTCAGATACTCTTGGTCATCTCTATAGTAAGTAATGGTTACAGGGTTAACAGACAACAGTCAGATACTCTTGGTCATCTCTATAGTAAGTAATGGTTACAGGGTTAACAGACAACAGTCAGATACTCTTGGTCATCTCTAAAGTAAGTAATGGTTACAGGGTTAACAGACAACAGTCGGATGCTCTTGGTCATCTCTAAAGTAAGTAATGGTTACAGGGTTAACAGACAACAGTCGGATGCTCTTGGTCATCTCTAAAGTAAGTAATGGTTACATGGTTAACAGACAACAGTGGGATGCTCTTGGTCATCTCTAAAGTAAGTAATGGTTACGGGGTTAACAGACAACAGTGGGATGCTCTTGGTCATCTCTAAAGTAAGTAATGGTTACAGGGTTAACAGACAACAGTCGGATACTCTTGGTCATCTCTAAAGTAAGTAATGGTTACGGGGTTAACAGACAACAGTCAGATACTCTTGGTCATCTCTAAAGTAAGTAATGGTTACAGGGTTAACAGACAACAGTCAGATACTCTTGGTCATCTCTATAGTAAGTAATGGTTACAGGGTTAACAGACAACAGTCAGATACTCTTGGTCATCTCTAAAGTAAGTAATGGTTACAGGGTTAACAGACAACAGTCAGATACTCTTGGTCATCTCTAAAGTAAGTAATGGTTACAGGGTTAAAAGACAGCAGTCAGATACTCTTGGTCATCTCTATAGTAAGTAATGGTTACATGGTTAACAGACAACAGTCAGATACTCTTGGTCATTTCTAAAGTAAGTAAGGGTTACAGGGTTAACAGACAACAGTCAGATACTCTTGGTCATCTGTAAAGTAAGTAAGGGTTACAGGGTTAACAGACAGCAGTCAGATACTCTTGGTCATCTCTAAAGTAAGTAAGGGTTAACTAAAGGTTAACAGACAACAGTCAGATACTCTTGGTCATCTCTAAAGTAAGTAAGGGTTACAGGGTTAACAGACAACAGTCAGATACTCTTGGTCATCTGTAAAGTAAGTAAGGGTTACAGGGTTAACAGACAGCAGTCAGATACTCTTGGTCATCTCTAAAGTAAGTAAGGGTTAACTAAAGGTTAACAGACAACAGTCAGCAGATACTGTCTACATAAATCATTACCTCAGTGTAGGCAGATCCAAGTCTCTTATAAGACTGCAGCTTTATCATGTTTATTGATTTGATTTCATAACTTCAATATATTATAGGGTTAACTTATTGAACTTAAATTGGTGAATATTGGCACGAGCTGGCTGTTCAAATGCACAAGCTTGCGAGTGCATTTGTATAGCCAGCAGGTACCAATATTCACTAATATAAGTTCTATACATGTAACTCCTTGAATATGTAGCTAAAACATTTCCAATTTATTTATATTAATTATTTAAATGAAATAATGAGAATAATTCAATATTGGTATTTACTGGTACATTAAAAGTGTGCAATCTCGAGTATGTCCTTGAAGTGTTTAATATTACATCATTGATTCATTCCATTGACCCTACCAAGCATTATGATTTGCTTACTGAGGTTTTAATTGAGGTTTATACACACCAAATTCTAATTAATAATTTCATATTTGGAAATAGACACATCTTCCCTTAGCTGCAACTACCCCTTCATAAACATTGCTGTTGAGCGGCTGACCAGGTAAAAGGCTAGGAAATTGAACGGTAAAATTCTCAAGACTTTTGTTGTTTTTTTTTTAATTATTATAGACTCTATTTATCAGGTTGGGCACACCCCACCAAATGGTTATTTATCCCCCGTTTGGTGGACAATCTCCCATATCGGAGACAAATTTTACTGACCAAATGGTGGACTTTTTTATTCTATTCCAAACTTTGTTAAAATAAAGCAAAAGCGTATTTGCATAGGCATTGGGGAATTTTTGTGAACATATTCCTCGCACAATTAACATAGTTCGGTCGATTTTTCATATTGAATTTCTCCATAACTTCCTAAAAACGATACCCATAAGTTGTCCGTAACAGCCGAACTTCTTGATCAATCGATCAAAAAAAATTTTGATTGTGTCTACTAGGATAAAAATTCTATTTTATCCAGTAGTTTAACTCTTGATAAGTTAAGTTTCAATCGCTTTTTGGATCTTCGTCAATATTTATTTCCATAAAATCCCGTTAAACATGAGCTCCTCATTACTTTACTGATATGGTGGGCACTTATTGCTATAAAGTTTAATTTTTCTAGACTTGAACGTAATATCTGTTGTTATTTTTCTTTTAGGATGAAGTTGCATATTCCATGCGAAGTTTTGTGGTTTAAAATGTATATTAATGATGAATTTAATATATTTGATAAATAATTTTCAATAAAAGATTTACAAAGTGGCTTTTGCAATTATTCTTGTTTTCGTTCCAAGTACATCATTTTAAAACAATTATTAAATCATAATCTAACTTCATTTACTATTTTTATAGAGAACAAAGCTATTGCGTACAAAATAAAATGAAATGAAGAAGAAAATTTATTTTTCTTTTGATTTCCTAATTGAAAATTGACACAAATGTGCCTCTGTAGTAAAATCCAACTTTAGACCAGGTTAAAAAAAGATCATCATTTTTATTGGTTTGCATTATTTGACTGGTTGCCCGGATAATCAAAATAGAAAGTAAAGAACATGATTGACAGGTGCAGCATCGTTGGAGAAGGAGGGAATTTTCTTTTTAAATAAAAATGAAGAAACGTTGCACTTGTTTACATACGTGACGTTTTTTGTCAAATTTTTTAACGACTCTTCGCAAAAATATTGCACATTGAATTTCCGATTTTTTTCACTCAGAACACCGATAAATATCTATATTTTATTCTACATGGTTTAAAATTATGCGCCATTCCACGCCATTCTATGGAATTGAACACAACCATTTTTCTCTCCTAAATGGTCAGTAAAATTCGTCTCCGATATGGGAGATTGTCCACCAAATGGGGGATAAATGACCACTTGGTGGGGTGAGCCCAACCTGTTTATTAGCAATACAATAAAAAATGATCTAAAAGAGTTTGTGCTGCAGGCTTGAAACTAGTACTGTAAAGAATGTACAAACGATTATTTTTAGCATGACAAAATCGTTCATCGAACTCATTAAGTGTCTAAAAAATGATTTATTTCAGTGTGGTCCTTAATATTGAGTATGATGCCAAAATTTACTGAAATCAAACAGACAAAAAACGGAGAAGAGGAAGCATTTTGAAAGGAATGTCACCAAACAGGGAACACCACCAAAAACCCATAAAAAGAACTGTGTATTTATGCGCAGTCAAATACTGAATCTCAGCGAGATTTGTCGGAAGTAACATTTTGTACTGGCCAGATAATCTTATATTCTGCTTGTTTTATGGATTAAATTGGACCCAAAAATGTGGGAGAGCCAATCTTTTGAATATATTATTTACATGAAGACTGACCGACACATCACCACAACATTTGTTAACGTGCCCCTTTTTATATGCAAAATCTCACAGCAATAAACATCATTACCTGGTTTTGTTTTCAAGTATTGCACGTGTCTGTCAATGTACCGGAAGTTTATGTTCAGTGTCTTAGTCTTTGGTGTGTTTATATTGATTAATGGGTTACAGGTCGTTTCGGTCCCTACAATCCCCCCCCTCAAAAAAAAAAACATAATGTGCTGTGAACGCTGTTCTTCAAGGGTAAAAAAAGCTACATCATTTGTACTGATAGCAAAAACATACCATGTATGCGGATGCAGAATTTCCTGAGGGGGAATTAAGGAGGGGGATGGGGTCCACACACCTGTAGACACCAAATATGTCTGATGCTGAAACGAAAAGACACCTTTATGTCCCACTTCAAGCGCTTTATTGACATTGAGGAGATGAAGTTGAATGGGTAAAACACATGCATGTGAGTAGCCTTCTGGGCAGGTCTAGTATAATCGCTACATTTAGCCATAGACACTCCACAGCTTAAGGGGATGCATGAACCATGTTACATAACTAAACTGACTACCTCATAGTCTCTTTTAATGTAGATGATTAACGTTATTTTAAAATGTAATTTATGTAGACTCCCTACTCCCTACAACTCGTTATATGTAAGCACAGGAGTTCGCAATTTTATCAATAAAGTTAATAGAAATCACTCGATTGACCAAGCCATGAGCTATGCGTTAGCATAGTGAACGCATAGCTCATGGCTTGGTCAATCGAGTGATTTCTATAACTTTATTGATAAAATTGCGAACTCCAGTGATGTAAGCTTCAAAATAATATGTTGACGGTGCGACCGTTTGGGCGAGTGCAGATACCTATTCAGAGTTTTAATTTTAGATCTGTCTCTTCTATCTGCACGTGACATTTGGTACGTCTAGACTCTGACGTCACATGACGTCGTATGTAAGTTGCAAATACCAAACCCAAGTCTGTACAATGCTAATTTTAAATAAAGAACGTTTAATCTGCTATTCATCTGCAACAAAAAATTAACTCACCTTAATTTAAAGAATAATTCTTTAAATTAAGGTGAGTTAATTTTTTGTTTAACATTCGTAACTGTGAGAACGTAGTTTGTGGCAAGATGCAATAAGCGTTGCATTGTGGGTCCAGAGGTTACATGGAAAAAAATTGTTTGGATGAATGTGCAAATTTTCTCTTTGCCCCCACATTGTCATTAGAGCTCCCAGTGCGAGTGGCACTTCAGTGCTGCTCGCTATGCTTTCTAAAATTATAATATGTTGATGGTGCGACCGTTGGGGCACATATAGTGGATATTCACTTTTAACTATAGCAAAATCCGCTTCTTCAAACCGCGCAAGACATTTGATCTAGACTGTGACGTCACACGACGTAGAATGTTGCTGCATTTCCAAAGTTTTGAATCATAATTTTAACAAAAAAACATTTGATTAATCTACTAGTTGTGTGAATATCCATCAAATCAAGGTGAGTTTATGTATTGAGAATTTTTAATTAAATGTTGTTAACCCGAGAACGAAGTTAGCAGCTAGATACATTCACGTTGCATTGTGGGTTTTGAGGTAACTTTGGAAAAAAATCATTTGGATCAATGTGTAAGTTCCATATTTTCTCTCTGCCCAGGTATTGATGTTAGAGCTCACAGTGCAAGCTGTGCTTTATGCCACTCACAGACACTGCGCTCGCTATGAAATATTTAAGAGTTTTTTAAATCAAGTCGATCAATATTTACAGATTGTGAAATAGATTTATTAACTCCATTTCTTTTGTAATGGGAGAGAACAAAAATGTGACAGACCAGACCGGGATTCGAACCCATGCCCCCAGAATCTCCAGTCAGGTGCTCCGAGCTATCTGGCCATCGGTAATCAAACCCATCTGACCACCACATTCCCCCTCCTAAAAGGTGTTTAGCCCCCAAAGACACCAACCCAGGCTCTTCCTGACAGGTCTCTCATCTGTCATTTCCAAGACAAGGCACGGCACCAAATGTAACGGGAGAGAAGAAAAAAATTGGTTGGACTAGACCAGGATTCAAACCCAGGCCCCCTGAATCTCCAGTCAGGTGCTCTGAGCTATCTGACCACCAGCGATCAAACCTGTCTGACCGCCACACTTTACACTGCATGTCTTACAAGTCAGTGACACCATATATGAAGGGGACTGCTTTGAGCCTTGTGCGGTGAGGCATGGGGAATTTTATTTTCTTTAGAGAAGTGGACAGACTTTAGTGGATGTAGGCAAAAGCCTATCCACTTCTCTAAAGAGAGTAGTTATCTCCTCACAGTAATGTTTACAAGAGAATTGAGTTGGTTGGGAATTGAGTGGTTTTGTGCCGATTACTTTTTCGCGCAGAGTGGTTTCATCCCAATTCCCAGTTCGCCCTGAGTGGATTTGCCCCTCTTGGTTTTCTTCAAACATACAGTGTACTTGATGTTTATGTAAACAAAAGTCTTTTGATCAGTATGTGTTTAAATTAACATAATTAATGAGCACTATAATTAAATTCAATAAGAAGCTGCCAATCAATACCAAATAATTATTTCCGATTTTAAAAAATAGGAGGACAGATGTTACGTCAAGCAAACTTTATTTTTCAAAAAATGTGAAAATAAAAAACTTTATGTACGTTACCAGTAAAATAAGTAAGTTTAGCCACATAAATTTTATTCCAACAATATCCATCTTCTTCTGAAATATGGAATAAAAATGTACTTTATTAAAAACATAATATTACTCAAACATGTCAAATAAGATGTGTCAACACACATGCAAGAACACAAGTATCAAACATTAGCATTAGCCATTTGTCATAAAGTACCAAAATTTCTAAACATGCAAAAATTTGACACCTTTAATTACTTATTACTGTATTATTACACCTTTAATTTCTAATTATAGGTATAATGGGGGTGAAAACACTGGAGGCAAAACCACTCAGCGAGAACATAATTGGGGAGAATCCACCCGTTACCCTTGTTCAGAAATCTCTAAATGAACTTTATGAAACCTTATTGTACAATTAATAATGTTGTATTAAGATGAGCCCGGCACATGCAGGACTGAAGAAGAACTGGTTATTGGTTAGAGATGTTGCTTTTGTGTGCAATTTAATTTTAGGTTCCCTCTTTATTTACAAATTTAAAGAAGTCAATTAGATCGTTCTTGCAAATGGTTCACTACAACAACTCAGGTAGAGCCTGGCTTGTCAGTTTTAGCTATTTCTTTGTTTGTTTTAGACAATGACTTCACTGTCCAGAAAAACCTGCAGACTTCTGGGTTGCTGTCATTTACTGAAACGAGAGAACAACGTGACACACAACAGTCATTTATCATTTACACAAAGAAGGCTGTGGCACGAGAGATGGGGAGAAGTGAAGGAGGAGCAGGTGTCCCAGAAGTCCCCTCCCAATGACAACCTACTGCTGCAATTACTAAACCTCAACAAACAAATGGTGAACAACAAGGACCCGTTCTACGTGATGGATCACTTCATGAACAACATTTTATATGAGGATGGTAGGATTCTTCATCTTGATTTTTATGCCCCTGGATCGAAAGATCCCAGGGGTATATTGTTTTTGTCCTGTCTGTCTGTTTGTCTGTTTGTTTGTCCGTTTGTCTGTTTGTCTGTCTGTCTGTTGTCAACTTTAACCTTGCCCATAACTTTTGATTGGTTGGAGCTATGACTTTCATATTTCACATGTGTATTCCTTGTGACAAGACCTTTCTTTGGGTACCATCATATTTGACCTTTTGACCCTGACCTTGGAGTTTGACCCACTTTTGCAAAATTTTATGAGACTTTAACCTTGGCCATAACTTCTGAACAGTTGAAGCTTGGGGTTTCAAACTTCACATGTGTATTCTTTGTGACAAGGCCTTCTTTTGGAATACCAACAACTTTGACCTTTTGACCTTGACCTTGGACTTTGACCTACTTTTGAAAAACTTTAACCTTGGCCATAACTTTTGAACAGTTGGTGCTTAGGGTTTCAAACTTCACATGTGTATTCTTTGTGACAAGACCTTCCTCTGGATATCAACCACTTTGACCCTTTTGACCCTGACCTAGGAGTTTGACCTACTTTTGAAAAACTTTAACTTTGGCCATAACTTTTGAATGGTTGGAGCTAGGGCTTTCATACTTCACATATGTAATCCTTGTGACAAGACCTTCCTTTGAATACCAACGACTTTGACCTTTTGACCTTGACCTAGGAGTTTGAACTAGTTTTGAAAAACTTTAACCTTGGCCATAACTTTTGAATGGTTGATGCTAGGGCTTTCATACTTCACATATGTAATCCTTGTGACAAGACCTTCCTTTGGATACCAACACTTTGACCCTTTGACCTTGACCTAGGAGTTTGACCTACTTTTGAAAAACTTTAACCTTGGCCATAACTTTTGAATGGTTGGTGCTAGGGCTTTCATACTTCACATATGTAATCCTTGTGACAAGATCTTCCTTTGCATACCAACCACTTTGACCTTGACCTTGACGTTTGACTTTTATTTAAAAAACTTTAACCTTCACCATAACTTTTGAACAGTTGTATCTAGGTCTTTCAAATTTCACAGGTGTTTTCCTCGAGACAAGATATTTCTTTGGGTATCAACATTTTTTATCTTTTGGCCTGGATTTTGACTTGCATTTGAGAAACTTTAATCTTCGACATAAGCTGCCATACGGGGGCATCAGTGTTTCACAAACACATCTTGTTTCTTTCTTATACTCTTGTATGTTCTGTACATTAAGGAGGAATGCTACACCAAAAGTTTATTTAATGGATATCTAAGACATCTCATTTGAAATATGGTTTCAACATGGAAGGATTTATTTTACAGAGTTAAAAGATTTTTCTCTGAAAAAGAAAACAATAAAAAGCTCATTTAAAATACAAGACCAGATGTCAATTTTTCCACTGACAGTGTGTTCCATGCTGAAACCGTTTTTCAAAAGAGAGCTTTAAACATCCATTAAATAAAATTTTGGTGTAGCATTCCACCTTAATTATGAAATTAACCTTGTGCATCTTATTTCATTTAGAAAATATGGTTGCCTTCAACAAACCAATTGGATTGCCACTGACATGTGAGTACCATTCAAGTCATCAGGACTTCATTAAATTGCATCCAGGCCTGGTCAAAGGACCCTGTCCCAATTGAAAATCAACTCTTTTTTCCCCCGAAATTTACTTAAAAATTCCCAAATGACAAGCAGATTAAATTTTTCAGTGCTTTTCATATGAAAAAGGAAAAAAAAAAGAATTTTGTCATATAATGATTCATAAACTTTTAGATGTAAATATGAAATTAGCCTACAATCTAGCTCTTTAACTGATTTAACATAATATTTATGGCATTAATATTTCAAAATTTTGCCACATTTTTGATCTAAAATTCCTAATTGAAAGGGTACAAGATCCTGTACAAAAAAAGTGTCAATTAAGCCCTGGTCCTCCAGATGTTTTTTTTATACTATAAACATACATACATGTAAATAAGCACACTCAAAAATTAAGTGCATCTTCCTCATCAACTGTTTAGTGTAATTATGAATTAACACATTTGGAACCAAGCCTCTATGCATGTATAAATATTTGTTTGAATTATTATTATGTAAGTGTATACTAGAACCAAGTCTCTATATATTTGTTTGAATCATTATGTAAGTTTATACATGTACTTAAATGGGTGGACAGAAGTAGAACAAAAAGGCACTAAAATATGATTACTGATAAATTAAGTTTACAGTTATTATCAATTTATCAGATTCTGCAATTGCAGTATCTTAGCTTCTTCTTGAATTTAAAAAAAAAAATCATTTTAATACAAATTGTTTGGCCATTATTTTCATTTTTCATATGTACTAAGTTATCTTCCAAAGGAATGTACTTGACTCTGCTCTGTTTGATCTGAATTCAGATAACCCTCCAAAGAGCATGAAGAATTCTGATTTGACAGAACCTGTGGTAAACTTAGATGGATTGCTACCAGAGCTGGCTAAGCGATTGTTCTGTTCCAAACTATATGTATCTCTTCCCGTGGACAGGTGGGCATGATCTGTACTGCCTCTATTATCTTCTTTAGATGATTCATTATAAACCATTAGGATCATCAAAATGTTTGCAAACATTTACATTTACTTGATGTGATAACTAAATGACAAGCACTGATTTACAAAAATATGACAGCACTAGCATGACCTGTATTACATGTAGTAGACAACCAATAAAAGACAATTGTTTACTGATATTAATAATCAATAAATACACAAAATTATAGGAAATTATAGGATTGATAATCCTCCCTTTTGTTATGATGGTTGGTATAGTGGTAAAGTGACCAGTTTTCATTATGATTCTTTGATGGTGTGTTTCAGAATGTGTAGTGGTGTCATTATTTTAACAAAGTCTGAGAAGTACAACCAATACCTGCGAAAAAGATTTTTCAGCTTAAAAGTGACTGATCAGCTTCCTTATCAACACTGGGAGTAAGTAGCCAATCAGATTTCTTATCACTGGGAGTAAGTAACCAATCAGATTCCCTATCACTGGGAGCAAGTAACCAATCAGATTTCTTGTCAGTGGGAGTAAGTAACCAATCAGATTTCTTATCACTGGGAGTAAGTAACCAATCAGATTCCCTATCACTGGGAGCAAGTAACCAATCAGATTTCTTATCACTGGGAGTAAGTAACCAATCAGATTCCCTATCACTGGGAGTAGTAACCAATCAGATTTCTTATCACTGGGAGTAAGTAACCAATCAGATTCCCTATCACTGGGAGCAAGTAACCAATCAGATTTCTTATCACTGGGAGTAAGTAACCAATCAGATTCCCTATCACTTGGAGTAGTAACCAATCAGATTCCTTATCACTATGAGTACGTTATCAGATTCCATTTCAACAATGGAAAGAAGTAAGCAAACTAATTTGCAATGATTTCTTTTTGCTTGGAATATGCAACAAGTCAGTCTCCTTATTGATACTGGGTTACATGTAGATAAGCACAGACCACAGTTTTGTGAAGTTTTTCATATGTTCCATATGTATTTAGGAAAAAAAAACCACTTAGCTGTAGAAATAGTAGAAATAGCTTTGATTGCAAATTTGCACTGAAAAAATTCTAAATATCCTAAGTCTTTTAAAGATCTAGAGTGATTAAATATTGAAATTTAAAACCAAGAACTTTGTAAACTTGTCAAACTAAATAGTTTTTTTTTGACATTTTGGTGCATGACCTACAATCCATTATGTTGTTTCTACAGTAAAACATCCTTATAACAAACAGGCTTATAAAAAATTGATGCTTACAGCAAATAGATTTTCATTCCTCATGATTTTAAAAGTATATATATTGTAAACTGATGGGATAACAAATTAACTAAGCAAAATCGTCCGTCCCTGACATTTGTTATAAGCGTGTTCTACTGTATATACATGTACTTTACATGTAATCAAATAAATATGTAATTTAAAATTTTAATTTTCAGAAATGATTAAAGGACAAAATTTCAAATACTTCAATGAAAGTTTTTCTTTGCTTTTGATGTTTTTCAGTGTTTTATGTGTTGAAATTCCTGACAAGCTTCCAAAAGAAAAGGAGATACTGTATTATAGCAAGGAGAAGTATAAAGATATTTACCTGCCACAGGTATAAGACTTGTTTACCTTGTACAGAAATATAACTCACTTACCTGCCACAGGTATAAGACTTGTTTACCTTGTACAGAAATATAACTCACTTACCTGCCACAGGTATAAGACTTGTTTACCTTGTACAGAAATATAACTCATTTACCTGCCACAGGTATAAGACTTGTTTACCTTGTACAGAAATATAACTCACTTACCTGCCACAGGTATAAGACTTGTTTACCTTGTACAGAAATATAACTCATTTACCTGCCACAGGTATAAGACTTGTTTACCTTGTACAGAAATATAACTCATTTACCTGCCACAGGTATAAGACTTGTTTACCTTGTACAGAAATATAACTCATTTACCTGCCACAGGTATAAGACTTGTTTACCTTGTACAGAAATATCACTCACTTACTTGCCACAGACACCTGTATATAACTTAGTTACCTTGTAAAGATATTCCATTCACTTACTTGCCACATGTATACCACACATTTACCTTCTGTTGGAATACAGCTAGTTACTGTTACAGGTATACCACACATTTACAATACATAATGTACCTGTTACAGGTATACCACACATTTACAATACATAATATACCTGTTACATATATACCACACATTTACAATAAATAATGTACCTGTTACAGATATACCACACATTTACAATACATAATGTACCTGTTACAGATATACCACACATTTACAATACATAATGTAACTGTTACAGATATACCACACATTTACAATACACAATGTAACTGTTACAGATATACCACACATTTACAATACATAATGTAACTGTTACAGGTATATCACACATTTACAATACATAATGTACCTGTTACAGATATACCACACATTTACAATACATAATGTAACTGTTACAGGTATACCACACATTTACAATACATAATGTACCTGTTACAGGTATACCACACATTTACAATACATAATATACCTGTTACATATATACCACACATTTACAATAAATAATGTACCTGTTACAGATATACCACACATTTACAATACATAATGTACCTGTTACAGATATACCACACATTTACAATACATAATGTAACTGTTACAGATATACCACACATTTACAATACACAATGTAACTGTTACAGATATACCACACATTTACAATACATAATGTAACTGTTACAGGTATATCACACATTTACAATACATAATGTACCTGTTACAGATATACCACACATTTACAATACATAATGTAACTGTTACAGGTATATCACACATTTACAATACATAATGTTCCTGTTACAGGTATACCAAACATTTACAATACATAATGTAACTGTCACAAGTATACCACACATTTACAATACATAATGTACCTGTTACAGGTATACCACACATTTACAATACATAATGTACCTGTTACAGGTATACCACACATTTACAATACATAATGTACCTGATACAGATATACCACACTTTTACAATACATAATGTACCTGTTACAGTATACCACACATTTACAATACATAATGTACCTGTTACAGTATACCACACATTTACAATACATAATGTACCTGTTACAGTATACCACACATTTACAATACATAATGTACCCGTTACAGATATACCACACATTTACAATACATAATGTACCTGTTACAGGTATACCACACATTTACAATACATAATATACCTGTTACATATATACCACACATTTACAATAAATAATGTACCTGTTACAGATATACCACACATTTACAATACATAATGTACCTGTTACAGATATACCACACATTTACAATACATAATGTAACTGTTACAGATATACCACACATTTACAATACACAATGTAACTGTTACAGATATACCACACATTTACAATACACAATGTAACTGTTACAGGTATATCACACATTTACAATACATAATGTACCTGTTACAGATATACCACACATTTACAATACATAATGTAACTGTTACAGGTATATCACACATTTACAATACATAATGTTCCTGTTACAGGTATACCAAACATTTACAATACATAATGTAACTGTCACAAGTATACCACACATTTACAATACATAATGTACCTGTTACAGGTATACCACACATTTACAATACATAATGTACCTGTTACAGGTATACCACACATTTACAATACATAATGTACCTGATACAGATATACCACACTTTTACAATACATAATGTACCTGTTACAGTATACCACACATTTACAATACATAATGTACCTGTTACAGTATACCACACATTTACAATACATAATGTACCTGTTACAGTATACCACACATTTACAATACATAATGTACCTGTTACAGATATACCACACATTTACAATACATAATGTACCTGTTACAGATATACCACACATTTACAATACATAATGTTCCTGTTACAGGTATACCACACATTTTCAATACATAATGTAACTGTTACAGGTATATCACACATTTACAATACATAATGTACCTGTTACAGATATACCACACATTTACAATACATAATGTAACTGTTACAGATATACCACACATTTACAATACATAATGTACCTGTTACAGTATACCACACATTTACAATACATAATGTACCTGTTACAGGTATACCACACATTTACAATACATAATGTACCTGTTACAGATATACCACATATTTACAATACATAATTTAACTGTTACAGGTATACCACACATTTATAATACATAATGTATCTGTTACAGTATACCACACATTTACAATACATAATGTACCTGTTACAGGTATACCATTCAGTCAGAATCTGCAAATTTTATCTTCATGTAATGGTTTGGGATGTGTATATTGGCCTAGGTAGCTCAGTCGGTAGAGCACCTGACTAGTGATGCAGGGGTCCCTGGTTTGATTCCCGATCCAGCCATATATTTTCTCCTTTCCTGTTCATTCATAAAAAAAATTTAAATGCATAATCACTGGAATTTTAATGTTGTGTGGTGTATGACCTTCAAATAAAATGGCCTTGAAATACAAATGTATACTTAATAATGTGCTTTTCATATATGTAGTGGGTCCACCTTGTATATTTTGTTAACCTTCAAAAAATTCTTCGAATCTATATTTTTAATGAAGCTAATGCAGTTTACTCCATTAGACAGGTCAGATATTGACCTAATTCATTGAACATGGTTTACACATAATCTCCATGGGAACATATAATTCCTACTGTCCAGATGTTTTACAGTATCCCCATTTGTAATCTTACAGACAGTATTCTGTAAACCCAGTAAAAATGAGAGGAAGAAAGGCCAGGTATACAGCACGACCTTGTGTGGGGAGGTCATTGGGAGGAACAAGGAGAAGGGGGCCAGAAGTAGTCATGTCAGGATCTCAGTTACCTCAGGTAGGTCATCGTGAAGAATGATGAGAAGGGGGCCAGAAGTAGTCACGTCAGGATCTCAGTTACCTCAGGTAGGTCATCGTGAAGAATGATGAGAAGGGGGCCAGAAGTAGTCACGTCAGGATCTCAGTTACCTCAGGTAGGTCATCGTGAAGAATGATGCGAAGGGGGCCAGAAGTAGTCACGTCAGGATCTCAGTTACCTCAGGTAGGTCATCATGAAGAATGATGCGAAGGGGGCCAGAAGTAGTCACGTCAGGATCTCAGTTACCTCAGGTAGGTCATCATGAAGAACGAGGAGAAGGGGGCCAGAAGTAGTCACGTCAGGATCTGTCACCTTAGGTGTCAACTGATTACTAGAACTTTAATAAAGATATGACACCATTATGTTTTGTAACTTTGCATTTATTTAAATATAGGAAAACACAGCTCCTCAATGTTTTTCTTACTAGCCAAAGTTATGTCAACTCTGATCTCACAGGAAAAGGAGAACTTAATTTTGATCATGTTAGGTTTTGTAACCTCAATAAATCTAGCTTTAAAAATGAAGAATTCATTTGAATGGCTTTAACAATAAAGGGTGATATTTTCTCCCTGGATGTTAAATGATTGAGGTGTTTCTTACTAACATTTCACTGAGTCAGACATAAGAAATAATAAGGCTGTAATACCTTTATCTTTACAGCAACAAACCATGTGATCCCTGCCTACCTGAGTGAGAGGTATGCCCCTGTGTTAGGGGACCAGGAGTATTTCTGGAGGGCTGTTAGTGTAGGGGGACAAAATGTTACAATATTGAAACAAATTCCAGCTGCTGGTATTCCGAGGCCACAGGTATGGACGTGTGTGTAATAATCATCAGGTATCAACCTTTGTGTAATAAATCATCCAGAGGTAATGAATGTACATGTATGTTATAAATTCAAATGTTGCCATATTGTGTCACACTCTGGATTATTGTGAAATACATGTATATTGTATTACCAGGTAAAAGGTAAAAGTTTTGGAAAATCGTGGAAAAATGACAAAATATTCATTACATGTAGCATGTAAACCCTTTTTAGTGATGGAATAAATATTTTCTTCTGATATCCAATATCTTTTGCATGAAATGTACGATGTTTTACACTGTAATACATGACACTGAGTATCTGTTAATAACAGTAAGGTGCAATAGTTGAATTTTGATTGGTAAACATGCAGTGAACCCTTGTTATCTCAAACCAGAAAAAATGAGAGATATATTATCTAGCTAGAATTTGAGATATCAAGGTCAAAATACTATGTACATAAAAATTGGTTGGGACTTCCAATTTACTTTGACAATAAATCCACAGTATTTGAGATATTGATGTTAAATACACCAATTTCATAATTTTTTTCCCAGGAGCTGTCAAAGGGAATCCTACAAAATCTTGAAATCAAGCAGGGCCATGTACAGAACCTGCCACCATTTCTACACAGGTCTGCTGTCGACATCGTACATCTGAAGAAAACCAAGAAGGAGCAGTTTACAATACAGGCGCCATTACCAGACTTCTTCCTTGTTACTAAATATAGACTGCTAAAGGACGAACAGTCCAAGGCAGAATTTTCTGAAAAGTTTAGTTATGTTGGCAGAAAAGGTGGTCCTTCAAAGGAAGAAAGAAAGTCTGATAAAGTTAACCTTGAGGGATGGCAATCAAATTTAACAGAACAGGATGAAAAGATTCTTGAATAAAATCTTTTGGAAAAAATGTTTTAAAGTTCCTTTCTTTATCTCACCTTTGACTGTGGGTTGATAACTTTTTTGGCTGTGCTGTACATAAGGGAATGACCATTTGATCCGAGGGGGAGGGGCTGGCAAATTTTTCTGAGTTAGATTATTTATTTTCACATTAATGAAGGGTAGATTAGGCCTGGATAAATAAATTGTGTGTTTCCGGTTCACCGACCGACCCTAAAATATATGAGCTGACCCTGAAAAATTTATACACCTACATCTTTCTGGAAGTAAACAGTTCCGGTTTAGCTATTAGAAATCCTAATCTCTATCATTTCTGTGTATGAGAAAATGCATATCCTATACACAATCAGAAACGTTTTGACAGGGATTTCCACAGTAAAAAAATGAAAGTGTGCTTGCCAATAAAGTATTAAATTAAAATGTTTTCCCTAGTACCTACCTACCCTATTTTTGCTCAGGTTGGAATAGGAAACACACTATTTATTTATCTTGGCCTTATTACCAAGATGATCAAGGACAGATTATTCATTTTCTTCACTGAAAAAAGTCTGACAAGCAAAAAAAAAAAAGGGGGGGGGGGGGGGAGAAGCACCAGTCAAGGACAGATTAACAGAGTATTTATTTTTCTTGCTGGTGGAGTAGGGATTAATTTCAACATTTTCAAGTACAAATTATTATTTCCAAAATCTGCCAGCCCTCCCTTTCTGAATCAAATGGTTGCCCTCCTTAGGGTATTCACAGTATTTCATGGTCTGTCATTCAAAAAATTCATAATTATAATTTCACTGCATTTGTTCATGTTTGTTTGCAAATTATGCACACGAGTACATACTGTATGCATGCATAAAATTCAGCTTTTTCAGACAATTTGAACCCTCTATAGATATTAACACTGGGAGTGTGCAGTATCTGTATCACAACGAAACCTATTTAATGGTACCTATTCAATTGTTTGCGTTATGAAATAGTTCAACTCGATATTTCAACCTCAATTAAATCTTATGATTTACCAAAAAAAAAAAAAAAAAAAAAAAAAAAAATTAAATGTCAAAAAATAAATCTGTAGTGTATAGAGATATGCAGTCGATCAGGGATAGGGTAATTGAAAAAAAGTAATTGTAATTGAGTGTAATTACATTTTTCAAAAAAAAAAAAAAAGAAATTGTTAGTACTTTGTAATTGACCATTTTTTCAAATAGTTGTAAATGAATATCATGAATTACATTGAAAAAAATACCCTGTAAGTTCATTTACTTTTCAATTACATTTTGATTACTTTTCAGTTACATTTCAATTACTTTACAATAATACATATTAAAGAGGCACTTCTGTTTTACAAAATCTTGAGATATAAAAAAGTTTAAGATTTTGTAAAACAGAAGTGCCTCTTTGAATAAATTAAAATAACTGTAAAAAGGGACTGTGTTGGAAATATTTTCCTATCAAATACATATATGTATTATGTAAAGTAATTGAAATGTAATTGAAAAGTAATAGTTATATTGCATTAAACAAGTATTATTTATCAACATTTGCAATTTAAGGTGTTTAGCTTGCCTATCTGTAGCTGAAATAATTTGAGATTATTTTATGGTTGATTCATAAACCCTTGAAAACTCACTTTTAATTAATTTAATCAAGTCAATTAATTGATAAATGTGCATGTAGGACTAGGTCTTATGTTCATGAAACCCACAAACAATACAGACACCTGACATTATGTAATTCCCTCTACCTTAAATTTACATGTATTTTTCTTCAAGAGTTTTGAAAGTGAAACAAAAGTAATTGAAATGTATTAATTAAATTACATTCTAGTATTACAAGTAATTGAGAGTAATTCTTTACATTTGTAAAAATTAATGTAATAGTAATTGCAAGTAACTGGCAAAATTTCAATGTATTTGAAAGTATTTAATTACATTTCAAAGTAATTTACCCCAACCCTGCAGCCGATTTATCCGGAATTTAAAACTTTGTCCGTCAACATTTTACATTTAGTTACCCTTAATAATCTCCCGTTGTGAGCTGCTGATGCTGACAAAGAAACTTTTGTGAAGTTCCGTTTTTCAGCTCCTACAAACAGAACAGTAACACAGCATTCGATATACAGAAGTAAGTTGTAAACACTGCAAACACCTGAGTAAAAACAGCTGAAAAAAGCCTACTCACCTGCTCACGTTTGCATGTACTGATCATGTCTTAATGTTCGAGAATGCAATGAAAATCTCAAGCATATTGATTATCGAAAGGCAGATATAGGGTAGAAAATATGATAAACTGAGACTTATTTTTATTTCAATCTCATAAATGCCCAAGCTTGTATATATTTTAATTGGAAAATGCGTATTTTTCACTACGGAACAGAGATATTCACGGGTTCATTTTTAGAAGACATGTTGTGACCTTAATTTCTAGAAGAGTGGTTTTTAAAGATTTCATATTGATAGCTAATAGTTTTAAAAATGTTTTCATAATAATATATGTTCGTATGTGATAAAAAATCAGTAAATAATGATGGTAAGAACTTACCCGTTCAATTCAGATGTCGTACACAAATAAAAATACTGGAATGCTAATTTATGTGTAAAATTCAGTCAAGTTTTTAACAGTTACAATATATATTGTCCCATTTTGCATATATATCCCTTTTATAATGCATATTTACTTCTCAAACATATCATTTTCTCTGTAATTGACCTGACTTCAAACGTCAACTTTGAAAGTAAATATCTCCTTTTTAGGTCACCTGAGTCACTCAGGTGACGTATTGCTATCCGTTTTCGTCCGTCGTCGTCCGTCGTCTGTCGTGCGTTGTGCGTCGTGTGTTAACATTTGAACATTTTCAGCTTCTTCTCTGAAACCGCTGAACCAATTTCAGCCAGTTTTGGCATATAGCATCTATGTGTGAAGGGGAACAAAATTTGTGAATTTCACAGTCCCTGCCCCCCTGGGGCCTGAGGTGTGGGGCTAAAACCACCAAAATTAATGCAATCTTTAAAAATCTTCTTTACTCCTTGACAACAGGGGGTCAAACTGTTGGCATGATTGTAATAAGCATTGAGCCCTCTACCAAAATTGTGAAATTCATGGCCCCAGGGTCAGGGGTTCTGGTGCTAGGGCGGGGCTATATAGATCATATAGTGAAAGTGCATTATTTCTTTGAAAATCTTCTTCGCTACTCCTGGGTATTATTGAAACAAATTGAATACATAGTTATGATAAGCAAGGGTGACTCTACCAAAATTGTGAAATTCATTGCCCCAGGGTCAGGGGTTCTGGTGCTAGGGCGGGGCTATATAGATCATATAGTGAAAGTGCATTATTTCTTTGAAAATCTTCTTCTCTACTCCTGGGTATTATTGAAACATATTGAATACATAGTTATGATAAGCAAGGGTGACTCTACCAAAATTGTGAAATTCATGGCCCCAGGGTCAGGGGTTCTGGTGCTAGGGCGGGGCTATATAGAACAAATAGTGAAAGTGCATTATTTCTTTGAAAATCTTCTTCTCTACTCCTGGGTATTATTGAAACAAATTGAACACATAGTTATGATAAACAAGGGTGACTCTACCAAAATTGTGAAATCCATGGCCCCAGGGTCAAGGGTTCTGGTGAAAAGGTGGGGGGGGGGGGGCTCTATTGATTATATGGTGAGAAAGCAAAATTTCTTTGAAAATCTTCTTCTCTACTCCTGGTTATTATTTAAACAAATTGAATACATAGTTATGATTAGCAAGAGCGACTGTACCAAATTTGTGAAATTCATTGCCCCAGGGTAAGGGGTTCTGGTGCTAGGCAGGGCTATATAGATCATATTGTGAAGGTGCATTATTTCTTTGAAAATCCTCTTCTCTGCCCCTGGGTATTATTTAAACAAATTAGATACATAATTATGATACGCAAGGATGCCTCTTCCAAAATTATGAATTTCATGGCCCCAGGATCAAGGGTTCTGGTGAAAAGGGGGGGGGGGGGGCTCTATTAATTATATATTGAGAAAGCAAAATTTCTTTGAAAATCTTCTTCTCTACTCCTGAGTATTATTTAAACAAGTTAAATACATAGTTATGATAGGCCGACTCTACCAAATTTGTGATATTCATGGCCCCAGGGTCAAGGGTTCAAGTGAAAGTGGGGGGGGGGGGGGGGGGCTCTATCGATTATATAGTGAAAAAGCAAAATTTCTTTGAAAATCTTCTCTACTCCTGGTTATTATTTAAACAAATTGAATACATTGTCATGATAAGCAAGGATGCCTCTTCCAAAATTGTTAAATTCATGGCCCCAGGGACAGGGGTTCTGGTGCTAAGGTGGGGCTATATAGATCCTATAGTGAAGGTGAATTATTTCTTTGAGAATCTTCTTCTCTGCCCCTGAGTATTATTTAAATAAACTAAATACATTTTTATGATATGCAAGGATGCCTATTCCAAAATTGTGAATTTCAGGCTCCCAGGATCAAGGGTTCTGGTGAAAAGGGGGGGGGGGGCTCTATTGATTATATAGCGAAAAAGCAAAATTTCTTTGAAAATATTCTGGTTAAAAAGCAAAGAAGCTAAGTGTATAGTTATGATGAGCAAGAGTGCTTCTTCCAGAGTAGTGAATTTCATGACCCCCTGGGTCAGATTTGCTGGTGTAAGGGTGGGGCTCTTGATAATATAGTGAAAAGCATTAATTCTATTAAATAATCCTGTCTGCTCTTAGTGTTAAGCAGACAAACAAAGCGATTACTTATGATGAGCAAACTTCTGGTCCCAGGGTGAGAGGCTCTGGTGTTTCTTGGTGGGGGGGGGGGGGGGGTTCTGATAATATAGTGAATATAGTGAATCTGTAGTAAAAATCCATTATTTCTTTAAAAATCTCCTCTGCACCTGGGCATATCAGAGGCAAAAAGAGTAAAAGTTTTAATAAGGAAGGGTATTTTTACCAGATTTTTGAACATCTGGACCATTTGTTCAAGTGTTCTGGTCCTGGCCAGGGCCCTATTAATTTGTATTCTACTGAGAGGAGTTATTCCCCTTTGCCATTTACTTTTGATAATTAATCCTGTAAATAATGTACTTGAAAGGTTAATAGAATAGGAGAATTATGCAAGAATTGTTATTGTATAATACAAAAAGTACTTTCTTAGTTTTAATGATCAGGTAGACTTGTAAGTAGTAGATAAATAAAAATCAGACAAAAATAACTTGTCTTATGAAATGTTCATCAAAGACCAAGAGAGGCCAATGTAAGAGATTTCAACAAGGAATTAAAATATTACAGAAGCAGTGATAGTTTGTTAATATACTTTTGGTGAGAGTGATAAATGGGGAAGAGATTAGAACCTAATTTATGAACTGTTAATGAATACTAGACTAATTATTTTGTTGTTCCTGATCACCCTATTTTTCTTGCTTTTGGGCAACAAAGGTTCACCTTTTAGTTCATTTTATACTCTATGGATTCTCTAAATTGTTTTATGATACTCAGGTGACCGTTAAGGCCCTTGGGCCTCTTGTTTGCAAATAAAATCAAAAATCTGACAAATACGATCTCTTCCGAAGTCTTTTATTTAGCATTTCTGAGTACTGATATAATTGCCATACTTTCCAAAACTTTGCACAGACAGTTTTTGTAGACCCATCATTTTTGTCAAAAAATCGCCATTTTTTGTGCGTGTGCGCACGCGCCGACTCTATTTTCGGAGTCTTTTTCAGTCTCAATTTCTTACTTCCGGAAACGCTGTTTTTGGAGTTCATCTAGACTGGTCCTGGGACACTGTAAGATTATTTTAACTAGCACTTCAATCCTCTTCCTGGCCATGGTCAGAAATAAATTGCAGCATTTCCCTTTTGATAATGTGATAATACTGTTTTGGAGGCTAATTTGAATTTAATCATTGACAAATTAATTTAATATATTTTTATATGAAGAATATTCAGTTTTCCATCGAGAAGCATTTGTAACATTTTAGCGAACCAATGAAAAGATCTGTTTAAAATGAATTCATGTGAATATACAGGTAACTATATTACCACAGTAAGTTATAATTAATATGTTTACAAAAAAACAAAAAACAAAATTGTTCATCCCTGGTACTTTTATATAAACATGTTCTATGATATATCCTAAGAATTTACTTGTTTATGAAATTGGTACATGTAAATTAAACATATACTGTAAGATTCATTCTTTTTATTTCAGGATGAACCTCCATGTGGTTTTCATTGGTGTGTTTGGATGTGTATTAGTCATCGGTCTATCAGAAGCAGAACAGAAAACCATAATATTAACTCAGTCCAAGGCAGAGATTCATCTCACAGAATGGATTGAAAAAGATATTCAGCAGTTAAACTACTCCATACTGCTGCCTGAAGGATTCCAGACTGCTCTGGTAGTAAACACTCAATTGCCATGGGGAAAGATCAAACAAAAGTTCAATGTCTGACCAAAAAAAAAAATTCACTGTTTTCATCAAAAACCCTCCCTCCCCCCTCAAAACTAAATGTAATACTAAGTAAATGTTGACTGAAACTTGATTATTAAACAAATAATTGTATTTATTATATTTCGTTTGTTTATTCATAAAAGAATCATTTCAAATACCAATAGAATAAAGTATCATGCATGATATACACATTTTGTGTAATTATCAATGTGATATACACTATTTGTGTAATTATCAACTTTTATACTCTTTGTGTAATTATCAATGTGATATACACTTTTTGTGTAATTATCAATGTGATATCCACTTTTTGTGTAATTATCAATGTGATATATTACACTTTTTTGTGTAATTATCAATGCGATATACAATTTTGTGTAATTATCAATTCAGACAACAAAAACTTCTGGTGTCCTTGATAACCTCCTCCTAACTATTTAAATTTAGTTTTTAATCTGACATCAGTTCTTTGATCTTGTCCCTAAAAGTGTACTACTGAACAACAATACATTGAAACAAGTTGCACAACTGCTATTTTGATGTAATGTTAAATACAGAAAAAGATATATATAACTTTGTAGATAAATAGTTCAGACCCAGATGTAACTATAACAGAAGATGGACACATTGAGATTAAAGCACCCCATCCTGAGACACAGCATCTGATTATAGCCATACAGGACCTCCGGAATTCTACAAACCCCAACATCACCCAACTCTGTCCTACATTTTACACAGACATTAATCTCCATATCACACAGAGGAAAATTACAGGTACAAGCATGGCATTGTTGATGACAAAGGTGTAAATATTGCACATTTAGCAATGCAAGTGCCACTAACAAGTGAATTATATATAGTGTTAAGACTAAAATGCTTCTTGACAAACATTCTGCAATGTACAAAATTAACTCATATCCCAAAGCTTATTTACCCTAAATAGTCAGTGTCTTTTGTATACATGAACATTTCATTTATCTTGAGTACTAGCACATAGATTTTCAAAGATAAAAATGTTTCAGTTGAATAAATTTATTAAAATGATAAAAGTAGTGTTTATTTATTTTTTGCTTTTTAAAGTGAGTTATGCATATCCTCCTGAATTTTGCATAGCTTCAGTAACTGTCGATGTCCTAGTCACCTGATATTATGTACTAAAAGTTTTTGTTTGAAAATCCTAATGAGTTTCAACAAGGAAAGAAGGGTTGTTTTAAAAATGGCTCATTGAATGGCAATTTCCTGCTGAAAGTGATTAGCTGATAGGTTAGCATGATTAAGAATTATTATAAGCCTGTGTGAATATATCTTCATGAACTTGAGAAAGATTGAATTTTCATGATAAACATTTGCATAACTGCAGGATACACATATATGTACATTGTCATACAGAGAATTTGGTTTAGCAATAGTAGCCTACACACAGAGATTTTAGTGTGATTTGTATTTATTAATTCTTGTAGATCTGTCACAGTGTCTCTGCATGTTGCATGACAAGATTGGTTAGATGAAGGAATGGAAAAAGCACGTGTGTGAATGGTGATTTACTGGCATGATGTTGGCCCAAATGTACATGTATGAAACAGAAAACTCATCACCTCAACTAACGACTATGTAAGTAAGTGATGGAGCTAGTTTTAGTATTCCTTATACTTTTATTGTCAGACATTTCAAAAGATAATATGTCTTAGATTATTTGTGTGTGTTTCTCTTTTGCTCATCAATGTTACCTTCGAAATAAACAATTAAATAAATCACTCTCAATCTAAATGTTTTAGGGTTGTGTCAAGATCCACCAACTCTGAAGAAACCTATAGACTACATCTCTCTGACATTTGGCAAACTTTTTCACATGAAGCTGGATCCAGAATATTTCTTTGATGCAGAAGATGGAGACGCAAGACAGTTAACTGTTACCATGACAACAGGTTATGGTAATCCGTTACCTAGCAACCATTGGGTACAATATGATTCTACAGACCAGGTGATTTATGGCTTAGTTTTGAATGAGTCAGCTGTTAGGAATGAAGTATTACTGGTGGTGGCCGAGGATTCTTGTGGGCAGTCTACCCATGATGCAGTTGGAGTTGAGATATCTGGGAAGTTTAATGAAGAGTACGCCAGTACCAAGCATGGATTTCTGGTGCATTTTTCGGATGACCCCATTTGTCCAGTAAAAGATCTGAAAAACTTGTATGTTTTTGTCAAGGAACTTAAAATCTGGTTCAACAACAGCAGGGAAATATTTATTACTAAAAGAGAAAATTGTTCACTTGTATTGTTACTGGCAGAGGACAGAGATACACTTTCAGAGGATATGACTGCTGAAGCAAGAACAATTTTTGATGAGAAGGGAGAACTTATCAAAGAATTTTCATGCTTCTTTATGCCAGGGTTCAGGATTACAAAATTTGAACATTTCATGAAAAATCATTCATTACTGGAAGAAGACACTGATATTCCATTGATTCCATTTAAATCGGACATCAATCTTTGGTTTGAAATAGTGCTCCCTGTTATAATCATACTCTCTATCCTCCTTGTGTTGATAATCATTGTATATATATGTTGTACAAGGAAGAAGAAGTTGTACTTACTACACTCAGAGAAGCCCACTTTTCTGGAGGAGAGGAGACCTGTCATTTTTCAGACTGAGGTCCCAGTGGAGGACCCCTCCCTGTGTCCAAGGAACCCTACCATTTTGTCACATTATGATGAACTCCCTTCATCTGAGGTGGAACTGATCGATCAAAGGTCACTTCCTTCCACCCCTAACTACACCCCAACTAGTACCCAGCCACCTCCTGCCTATAGGGTACCCCCTCCCTACACCAATAATCACCAGTACTGGTAATGCTAACTCAATACCCAATCACCCCTGCCTATAGGATACCCCCTCTCTACACCAATTATGATCAGTACTAGTAATGCTAAGTCATTACCCAGTCTCCCCTTGCCTATAGGGTACCCCCTCCCTACACCAATAATCATCAGTACTGGTAATGCTACTTATACCCAGCCCTTTCCAAACCCATTGCCTATAAGGTACTCCTCTATACTGCAACAATTATCAGTTCTGATAATGCTAAATCAATACTCATCATAACCGTGGCATGGTAACACATTCATACATCATGAATTCCATATTTACACACTTCACATAGTGCCAAGGTACCAGACCCTTTAGGTTCTCCCTCCTGGTATCACAAATCACCACAACTTAAAATTTAAATGACAACTGATTATTTGTTCAATAATCCTTCAAGCTGAAGAAGGACCCCCTTCTGTATAGACCACTAAACAAGAGAATTGAAAATTTTCAGAGATGATATCTTACATCAGCCTTTAGAGTCATGCATGAGCCCTGTATTCATACTTTCCTGTGTTTATTCTTTCTTTCTGTGTCAAATGATATTTTACAGCAGTATTCTTCTTCATTCGTTGCATATGAATAATTATATGTCGACTGTTTGCCACCTATATTAAATAAATTTCATCAAACATTCCATCTGTCATATTCCTACTTTATTATACCCTGTTCCAAAGGAGTGGGGGTATACTGTTTTACCCCTGTGTGTTTGTCCGTCTGTGTGTGTGTCTGTTCGATTGTAACGTTTTTTCGTCGCAGTCTTCTCAGCAACTACTTGTCGAAAATGCTTGAAATTTAAGCAGTCTTTTTTTTGACATGCCATATGGTGGAATTCATTTTTTTTTTTTTAAAATCTGACTTCAACTTCTTGTTTTATATCCCTGTGTCTGTCCTTACCAAATTTCTGTCGCAGTTTTCTCAGCAACTACTTGCTTGAAATTTTGGCGCACTCTTTGTTTAGGAACGTGTGTATATTCACGAGAGCATATATTCAAATCAGAGTGGGGGTATTACGAGTGAGCGTTGGCTCACAGATTTCTTGTTAGCTCACTCGACTATAGACTCAAGTGAGCTTTTCTGATCAAATTTTTCTCCTGTCTTTTGGTAAAAGCTTCATAAAATTAATTGTTTACAAATAACACAGATATATACGTCCCTGTAAATAGTGTGCTCTTCTGCATTGGAGGTTATAGAGCTAGACATAAAGTTAGAAGACACTATATGTTATGATTATTATACATTATGATTATATATATATATTAGGGATGTCAAATCGGTCAATTTTTGATAATCGGATACTCGGACGTTTTTCCGATCGAGTACCCGGGTACTCGGTAAAAAAGTGTGTTAATTTTCTTGAGCCCGGTTAACCTCTGTTAAACCCCAAAGCTGTTTTTTTTTTTCACGTTTATAAATGTATATAAACAGTTGAGTCAAAGGGAAATGATTTTTTGGTACTAAATTTACTTACCAAATAAACACAAACGACAGAATTAATAAATCAAAAATTACAGATGGTTTACAGTTTTTGTTTAGGATCTATTTCATCAACACAAAAGGAAGACAATCTGTTATGCAGGTTTGTGGTGATTAGACTAGCGAAAGGGAAGGAACGGACGTTGTTGGGATCGCTAGTCTAATATCATTTCATATGTTGGTTGTTTCCCCCATATACACTAAACTTACGACGCAAACTGACTTTCAACATTTTTTTGAACTTTAGTTGTTTCTAAATATTTCTTCTTTTTTGATGTGGGTAGCGGCATTTCTAATGCATGTCCGATTTCGCTACCGTATATCAATTAAATAATTTAAAAAACGAGTTAAGATTATACACCATACTTAAACTATGTTCACTGAAAACAATCACTGAAGCCATCCAAAAATTAAGGACCAAAATAGGTGAGAACAGCTGTGTACCAGGTGATTGGTCACTAATTACTGTATATACACAGCCACAGGCGATAACGGGTGTTTTACAGGTGTAGATGACGACATGTCAATTACCGTATGCATATTTAAGTTATTGATAAGTTTTTGATAAAAATATGTACTTTGAAATAAGGAAAAAATACACTTCCGAGTAACCGAGTACGATTTTTAGTATTCGATACTCGGACGTTCGATCGAGTACCCGGTTAACCGGGTACTCGTTGACATCCCTAATATATATATATATATATATATATATATATATATATATATATATATATATATATATATATATATATATATATATATATATATATATACATGTATATATATATATATATATATATATATATATATATATATATATATATATATATATATTACATTGGTGAGATGGCCGTGTATAGGTCTGAACAAAAACAATGTAGTGTTAGTACCGCATTGGGCAGCGCTAAATAATTGAATGATTGAATGAATAAATAATGAATGAGAATAAAATACACGTCAATTAATTTAAAATGAATATAAAAAAAGTACGCCTCCACATTAAATATACTTTGATTGGAAGTTCTATGCTTTCTAAGATTTTTATTTCCCTTTACAAATTACATCTAGATGAAATATACCAAAACTAGAAATCTGACCAGTCAGCAAGGGCCCTGCCGAAGGGTAGAAATATAAGGGTGCAGATTAGTGAATGAGAATTTTACTTGGTTACAAAACTTTTAAAATATATGAAGAAGAATAAGCAACAGCAACTGTATTTATAAAATTTCAAGATAATTCCTAAATATCCAACAACCTGTAAATAGTATCCTTGTACTTACATAAGGCAGTAAAAACATTATATCTACAATAACTCAATTAAATGTATATTTAAAGAAGAATGAAGCATGAGTTTTCTAAAATGCCAGCCTTCAGTGAATGCAAATATCACACAGGCTTGACCTTAACTACAAAACAAACATCAGTTGCAGACAAAGGTGTTAATTAATCTTAAAGTGACAGAAAGATAACCCTCTAAATCTTTCTGCAACCAGCAAGATAATCAATCCAAGGGGATTAATTGTACTGCTCTCTCATCCTTTTCTTTTAAGTTTACAATAAGAATTTTTTAAGCAATGATAGAATGAGGTTATTATCAGAATACCTGTTAAAATAAATAGAATTCTTGAATTTACATAAGGCAGGGGAAAAAAAAGAACAAGAGGCCCAGGGGCCACATCGCTCACCTGAGCACTTTGGCTAGGAAAAAGCAGAAATCAATTCAGTATTGAAAAGTTTAAATATAAAAGTGTTGGGGGGGGGTATGATTTGAACAAGCTTTAATCTAAACTTCCTTAAGATGCTTTTGAATAAAAAAAAAATGACACATAATGGCTTTGCTGTTCATAAGATGAAAATTTTTATTGATATACCCTTTATATTCCCTTGTATAAATATGATCCCCTGTTATGGCCTTTCTATTCTGGGGGGGGGGGGGGGGGGGGGGAGGGCATAATTTTGAACAAATTTAAGTCTACATTAACTGAGGATGCTTTTGTATTGTTATGACCAATCATGCCTTTGTTGTTCTTGTGAAGATTTTAAAAGATTTTTCCTATGTAAAACTTTTTATCCCACCCTTCCCCGGGGGTCATGATTTGAACAAGCTTGAATCTACACTACCTGAGGATGCTTCCATATAAATATGTCTAATAATCATGACTTTTCTGTTCTTGAGAAAAAGATTTTTAAAGATTTCTTCCTATGTAAAACTTTGATCACCCATTGTGGCCCAACCCTACCCATGGGGTCATGATTTAAACAAACTTGGATCTACACTACCTGAGGATGCTTCCATATTAATATGATCAATCACAACTTTTCTGTTCTTGAGAAGAAGATTTTTAAAGATTTTTCCTAAGTATTCCTATGCAAAACTTTGAACACCCATTGTGGCCCCACCCTACCCCCCGGGTCTTGATTGGAACAATAGTGAATCTACACTACCTGAGGATGCTTCCATATAAATATGACCAATCATGGCTTTTATGTTCTTGAGAAGATTTTTAAAGATTTTTTCTATGTATTCCTATGTAAAACTTTGATCACCCATTGTGGCCCCATCCTATCCCTAGGGGTCATGATTTGAACAAACTTGAACCTGCAATACCTGAGGATGCTTCCATATAAATATGACCAATCAAGGCTTTGCTGTTCTTGAGAAAAAGATTTTTAAAGATTTTTCCTATGTATTCCTATGCAAAACTTTGATCCCAAATTATGGCCCCACCCTACCCCCGGGGGTCATGATTTGAACAAACTTAAATCTACACTACCTCACAATGATTCCACATAAGTTTCATACTTTCAAGCACAGTGGTTCTTGAGAAGAAGATTTTTAAATGATGCCATCAATTTTTCGCAAAATCATAATTATCTCCCCTTGGAAGAAGGCATGACCCTTCAATTGAACAAACTTGAATCCCCTTTACCCAAGGATACTTTGTAGCAAGTTTGGTTGAAATTGGCCCAGTGGTTCTTGAGAAGAAGATGAAAATGTGAAAAGTTTACAATGACGACAGACAACGGAAAAATTTCAATCAGAAAAACTCACTTGAGCCTTCGGCTCAGGTGAGCTAAAAATAAAAAAAAAAATAAAAAGATATCTTTATCTATATCTTTTTTTTTAGAATTCAATAAAATCATAACTCATTGTGTATTTTACCAAAATAAAGTATGAATATTATTTAAATCCACATTTCAGAGAATGTAAACATCATTCACAATTGATCTTAACTTTAAAACAAACTTCATTTGCAGACAGAGGTGTTAATTAATCTCAATGTGACAGATAAAGATAAATGCTTTGGATTTTCTTCAAGAGGAAAGTTAATTAATCCCAAGAGACTCATTGCAGCCTTTCATAGTTTACAATAGGAACTTTCTCAGCAGTTATCTCTCTTTGCCCATTCACTCTTATATAAAGTTAAGAAATCTACCCTACCACCCCAGCTCCAAACCGGATGACATAGAGAACCAAACTTAGCATCAAAATATGTCATACTGCCTATTCAGCCAACATACCAAATTTGAACTTAATTGGTCAACCCTTAAAAAGTTATTAGAAAAAAAAAGAAGAAAATTTGTGGACGGAAGAATGACAGACGGACAGACAGCTAGACAGAGTGATTACTATAGGGCACACGCAAATCCTTGCAGGGCCCTAATAAGTTGAAATTGTTCAGCTGTTCTAGAGAGAAAGCTGAAAATGGTAAAATTTAAATTAATGCATTCACAGAACGAAAATCCATACCAATGGCCTGCTCACGATTCATATACATGTATGTAGAAAAAAGAATCTATTTTTCAATGAAAACTCGATTGTATACAGTCCATCAATAAATGGACAAATTCAAACAATCATGTCACTTTTCAATATTTTAAATTTGGTTCGATTTTTCTATTTCAAATTTGTAAACATTCAAAGTAAGCAGACCTGCATGCAACAAGATTATAGTGTAATTCAATAAACTGAAAAAATGACAATATCCAAACCTACATACAAAATCATTGCATAGCTTTTATCAGTTTATACAAAAGTGTTCCAAATAACATTCTTTGAGTAATAGCCATAATTCAAAGAATGTTGTTTTCAGGCCTCAGTACAGTTGCTTTAGTATCTTGCACATCTATGGATCTTTTCACAAGAAAAATACGTTCAAGGCAATTTTCCAGAAAGTATCAAAGCTATAGTGTATGTCACAAAAAATCTTAAATTTCAATCA